AAAGAAAAGAAAAAAAAATCTACAGTGAAAGAAGCATGGTTCCATGATGAAAATAGAAATAGGAGACTACAGAGAAACAGTGGAAATATAAAGTTACTATGTTTCAAGTCACAAAAACTACTCCCTCCCCCCAGCATCTATGTCCACTATAAATTTATTAACTTTTTTGGTCTATAAGTCAGTATGTCCTTCCAGAGAACATATAACTTAATTACGTGTAGAATGCCACCAGGTGTCCATCCAGGCCCCTTCCATTTTTTCAAGGTTTTCAATATATTAAAAGGACGGTAAGCTAGATTTACAAAATTGTGGCTACTTTAAATGTTTGTTTAATAAGCTGATGCTTTGCACATGATGATTGTTAAGTGGCTCAATGAAGTAAAAAGTCCAAGCGGGAGGTCGGTTGGCTGGGCTCGAGAGGACACACACCGGCGGGTGGCGGGAGGCGGTAGGGGACCCGACCCATCCGACCTGAGCTCCCGGAGGCCAGGGCTCACAGCTTCTTGCCTTGCTTGGCAGAAATTACGCCTTCGGCGGGGCCTGGTGCTAACCGCAGCCCTCGGGGGGGGCTGAGGCAGGAGGGTCGCAGGTTCGAGCCCAGCCTGGGGAGCTCCAAAGTGCCCAGCACGGAAGGGCTAGGCGTGCAGGTTCACGCACTGTGCGGTGCGTCCACTGGGCCTTCGGCACGCAGGTTCTGAAGGTTCGCAAGGGGGCGGCAGGCACCAGGCGGGGCGCCGTTTCCGGGCCGCCCTCCGCCAGGAGCGGCACCCAGTCTCACCTTCGAAAGTTGGCACCGGAAGCAGCGTCTTCAGCCCGGCGCCGGTGGCAGGCGCTGCCCGAGGACCTGCAAAGACAGTTCTGGTCAAGCGGGGCGGCCACGAGGCCGGGGCGGGAAGCGCGGGAGGCCCCCGACGCCCGAGGCGGCTTCCGACCTGACAGAGGTGCCCGCAGGAACGGCGCACGGGCGCGCGCCGGCAGCCCCCACATGCTCGCGCGCCCAGGTTCTCCCGCGGTGAGCGAGACGCTCCGAGGCCGGGCTGGGAAGGGACTCGGACTGCACAGCGCCAGACCGGAAGTCGTGCTCACTCGGGTCCGTTCCTCAGAGTCCCGGCAGAAGCGGAAGAAGCTCGAGCCAGGGAGCTTGGTTCCGGCCGCGTGTGCGGGTCGCGCTGCGCCGGACCTGGCGTCCTGTGTGCCATCTGCGCCTTTCTGTTTCGCCGTCGGGTCACAGCGCCAAGGCGTGGGGGCTGCTCAGCACGCCAGCCCTTTGTCCGCGGCCTTACGTCCCTTCCCGGGGGGACTCCGCTTGGCCGGAGCTCGCAGGATGTGCGGAGGTGGCCTCCGCCCCCGAGTGTCGAGTCGCGTGGCGGTTCCCCGAGGGCAGCGGGCGCTCAGGCCACACCGCGGGGACTGGGCAGCCCGCGGCCGGAGACCTCGCCAGCGCGCCGAGCCGGGAGCAGCTGCCGCATCTCAGGCGTCAGGTTCAGGCGGGAGCCCCCCCGGCCAACGCGCGGCTCCCTCGACCCTCGGGATGCTGACCCGGCGCCGCGAAGAACGAGCGCGGGCGAAGTTTAGCGCAACGCAAGGCGGGGCATTTGGGGGAAGGCGGATAGACAGCGCCCGGGCGGCAGGGGCTGCAGGGCCTAAAGCCCAGGAGCTCGGGCCCTGGCTGCTTCCCCGGTGGCCTCGCCGCCGCCCGGCCTGTGGGCCTGGAGCCTCGGGTCCTGACCCATGCCTTCTGGGCGTTCGGCTCCGTTCGTCCTTTGTCGTGAACAAGTGAAGGTGGCTTCCTAACGGTGAAGTAAGGGGACACGTGTACACGCGTGCACCCTGTCAGTGCTGTGCTGCTGTCACAGTGAGAACACACGTACCTGAGTGTGTGCGTGTGTGTGTTCCTTACCTATGAAATAAGAGTCGCTGTGCGGCGTCTCTCACCGCGCTTGGTTTGTCAGGTGGGTCAGGGCAGCGGGCTTTCCTGGTAATGGTGGTGCCTGGGCCTCTCCCGCTCCAGCTAGCTTTCCCCTCCCTTGTCTTTCTAACTACCCTAACTTCAGAGTCTACCTGTGAGGGCAGAGTCCTTTCAGTACTAGAGGTAGAAACTGCGTTTAATAAGTTTCTTTATTGATCTTAATAAAGCTTTCCCTACCTCTGCCCTGCCCCTACCCAATGAAACAATGCGTAATTATCATTTGAGGAGAACAATGGATTAGTCGTTTCACGAGCCTGCAGTTTTTAAAGAATTGGAAACAAAGAGGATCTTTATCCACGCTTCTAGGACACCAGTGGGATTAGCAAATGGGGACTGATGGCCGTTGTGCTTAAATCTTACGAAGTCTGTTCCGTGGACTTTGTGGCAACATTAATTTAACGAATGACAATGGCAAAAACATCCCCAAAGCTGCAGAGGTCCTGGAGGAATCTTCTCAGGTTCATTCACCTGCCCACTCAGCAGGCTTCCAGAGTTAAGAGCACTTGTCAAGCCACCTAATGACCTCATTTTAACTTGGTTACCACCCTTAGGCAGAAAGTCGGTCACCAGCAGGCTGGAGACTGGTGGCTGGGGGTTAACTGGAAAAGCCTCCCTTCATTTTGTAAATCATTAGCTATAGATAACAGCCACACACGCTTGTGATTTCAAACTTTAGCTTAAAAGGATGGGACAGCTACTAAATGGGTTAATAAAGCCCAGAGCCTGTACAAAGTCCAGACTATGAGCGAGAGGTTAGAAAAACCTCAAGGGCTCAGAGCACACGGGAGATGTCCACCTAAAGAGTAAACAGGAACCTGCTTTCCCTGAAGCCGGTAAACAGCCCATTTTATTTGTACAAGAACAATGACCTCAGAGGAAGGAAAGGCTATTCCTTGAAAGACCCAGTTAATCATACAAATGCAACCTGAGACCTCATTCAGTGCAGGGGTCATTTTAGCACTCTTCCACCTTCATGCCTGAAGGCCTCTTTCTCTGAAAATCTATCCTTTTCCCAATAATCTCCACTTATACCCTCTACCAGAAATGGCGAACCTTTTAGAGACTGAGTGCCCCAACTGCAACCCCCAAACCCACTTATTTATCACAAAGTGCCAACACTGCAATTAAACCCGAGTTTGGGAAAGATAGCTCATACATAAACATCTTTTGTCTTAGAAGAAAAATACAATAACACGCACGCCATAGGTTCGCCACCACTGGCCCGAACGATAGCCTACATGTCTTGTCTGAAATCTTTCATCAGAGAAGAATTGAGGTGTGTTGCTGGTTCCTTGCTGTGTTACCTAGCTCCCAGGTAACATAAGCATTCTATCTTCAAGTAAGGTCACATTCTGAGGGACCGAGGTTAGAACTGCAACATACGAGGGTGCACAATTCAGACCGCAGCAGGTGCTGCCCCGGGGAGGTCGGAAATCGGAAGAGACTGGGACAGGCAAGGTCTTAGTTAGGGATAAAAACACAAGGTGAGGCGGTAGATAGACCTCTTCGCGTTGTTTTCATAACTCTACCTAGAGCGAGATTAAGCTAAAGGAGAGGAACAGCTTTGTTTGTGGATGGAAGTGAAAGTTGTAAATAGGCACTGAAGTGTAAAGAAACTAGAAGTAACAACACAGTTTTAAAGTTTATTTTGAAATTGAAGCATAATGAGGAAATGCAAAACACGAAATGAAATTTAAAAACCCCACCGCAACAAAACCAGCCTCACTGAGCTGATTGGATGGAAGTGCACTGAAGTATTTTTCTCATGGCATTCTGAGTCCTATTTACGTGACTCACACACTGGTTATGAGTTAGCTTTCATACAATTTAATGATGACTAATGGAATATTTTAGCCGAGTGTGGTGGTGCACACATGTAATGCTGGCACTCGGGAGGCTGAGGCAGGAGGATTGCTGTGAGGTTGAGACCAGCTTTAACTACATAATGTGTCCTTGTCTCCAAAAACAAAAACTTTTTTCTTTTTTTAAAAAATTCTTTGATTTCATTTATTTTTGTCTTTATTTCTGAATTTACTATCTGGTTGTGTATATGCTTTGTCTACTTTTAAACTGCACTGTTTATGTTTTCTTATAAATTCAAAACTACTTGTGTTTCGCATGTTTGTTCTTTAAGATAAAATGTAGAACCATTTTGTTAATTTTTTTTTTTTTAAGGTACTGGGGATCAAACCCGGGTCCTTGTGCTTGTGCAGCAGGCAGCAAAACCACTGAGCTAAGTCCCCAGCCCCTCCATTTTGTTAATTTTTATACTCTCTGTGTTAATTTTCTTGAGTAGAATTCTTGTATCTTTTACAAAGGGTTTTAATCTCAGAGCCATTTGCATTTCTGAGTGAGACTCAGGCTTAGATGCTGTTTTGAATTCTGGGTTCTCAGTTGGAAGGGACTGAAAGTGGACTGTGTTGTGTTCCATTCCTAAACTGTGTTTTCCTCGCTCACACACTTAATGTAGGTCATTCCTGTGTTTAGTTCTAGGTCAGTAAAATTGCACACAATTCATGAATGGGGTGAAGGTGTTTGCTGCCAGTCTTCCCTCCTTTGCATTTTTACCACTTAAAGTTTAGGCTTTACCATCCCTGGCCAGCAGAGGTCAGAAAAGTGCTTTTTATCGTCCCTGAAACGAACCAAATCCATGCTTGGTCCTTCAGCGTGAAGGAGCCCAAAAGCTTGGTTAGGTGAGAGCGCTGTCACACTTTAATTCATTCCTCTCTATTAAAGCCAGTCTGTTTGGGTAAGTGTCTTATTACAAGAAATCTTCAAGAACACCACTCTTAAAACTTTTCCAAACCAAAAATTTTAGAGAAGATTCGAGGCCAAACTCCTACTTTCTCAGATGAAGAAACCAATCTTTCAGTTAATTAGAGACACATCCCGGTCATTCGGCGTGTTTGCGAGCATGTGCAGAATGACTGAGTGGAATCGTTTTGGATTCCAGATTGTCTCCTGACATTGTATCTGTAGGTTATTTTTCCAACTGGAACTGAAATAATTAATTTAATGTGTATTTTTATTTCCGGCACTGTGCTAATCACTGTGGGATTTACGGGTAAAAAAGTGGCCCTTGCTCATGGAAGTTATGCAGGTGTGAGTAGCAACAGTAAAATAATGAGGTGAACCTAGAGGAAGTGTTAGGTTTCTCTCTGTATATTGCTTCTGGTCTTGATTTTTGTTTAGTATTTGTAGTAATTTTATACTACCATTTTGAAAAAACTCAGATATGCTAATAAAATCCCATTGATTATTTCTTCTTAGGTATTTTACTGGTGCTAAATGACCCAAAGATAAAATCAGCGACAAGAGAAACAAGAGGATCACAGCTTTAAAAAATTCTTACACTGCACAACCATCCTACATGTATAAGCAAGGAGTAGATACTCTCTACTGAGTTAATGACAAAGAGAAACCATCAAGAGAGTGTATTGGAAACATATAAAACTTAGAACTGTCTTAGAAGAATAGGTATGTCTTAGAGATTTATGTGATTTCCTGCTTCCAGATACTCACAGGTAAATTTATTTTGTGGTATTTGTCCACTCTTTCATTACTCACGGCAGCCGTATGTACGTATGTACATACGTACATGTTCGTTACTCACAGCCATATATATGTATGTACATACGTACATACGTACATGTTCATCACTCACGGCAGCCACCTTTATTTTTACAGTGTGTACACACATACGTACATTCCAAGGCTCTTTCTGAAGCAGAACCGAAACTTGTCATAGCAGATCCAGTGTCAACTCGTGTCCCTGCCACAACCAAGGCTTGCCAGAACAGATGAACACACACACACAGCTTTTGGTTGCCTGATTTAGTCTTTAAAAAGTCATATTTGTTTAAAATATTTTCCCCTGGCTTCCAGCTCCTCAGTTACTGTACTACGTGTGGAATGAATCATACTTTGAAAGCAGGGAAGCAAATAAACAAAGGCAGCGATAACAGTCAGACACTCACCTCACCACAACAGGCTGTCACGGAGGGCACTAGTACCCTTGTGTGGCCTGCTTCACTCACTTGGCTATTGTTAGGTGCATCTTTTCATGTCAGAAGTCTTCATCGTCAGCATGAATTTTAGCGAGCTTTGAGTGGACCATCACAGGGCTGCGCCAGAGTTTAAATGTCTGTTGCCCTATTGCTGGCATAGCAATGGCTTTCCCTAGGACAAACATTATGCTATGTTAGGAGAGAGCATTTTATACACCTCTCCTGAGGTTCCTGTCCTTTACAAGGACAGTCCTGGCCTTTTCCTGGCTTTGGGGATGCAGACCGGGGCCTGTGTGGCTCATACCTCTTCCTCTTGGGAGCCAGACTGGTAGCAGAGAGCAGGCACTTGTTCTACGATGCTAGGACCGGCACCCTGTGTGTGACAAGAAGTTCAGCCTGTTCAACGTGGGGCTCCATGTTAGCAACCGTATGGTGGCTGCACACCCAAGCCTGAGCCCTGTAATCTCACAGCCAGTGTAATCCTTGTATATCGACGTGTCCTCTTTCGATTGTTCTCTTTGTGTAAATGTCAAGATTGGGATTTTTCCTGGTTCAAAGTTGAGTCTGGTCGTCCCTAGGTATTGGTTCTGGGATCTCTAGGGATTCCAAATCTGAGGATGATCAAGTCCCTGTGAAAAATGTCCTAGCATTTGGAGACAACCTACGCACACTCATCCACGTATTCACCTCTAGATCACTTACAGTGCTTAGTAAAATATAAATACCATGTGAGTGGTTGTTATACTGTATTGTTTAGAGAATGACAAGAAAACAATCTACATGTTCATTACAAATTTAGGTTTTTTTTAAAATTTTTTTTTTTTACAAATTTAGTTTTTAAAAAATACTTCTGATGTTTAATTGCTGAATCTGCAGATACAGAATGTGTGAATATGGAAGGCCAGTTGTTTCTTTTAGGGCTTTCGATGCACATTTTCATATTCCTTTCTAGGAAGTTTGTACCAATGTTGCCTTCTATCACAGGTTACAGTTGTGATTGACTTTGAAAGCTTAAAAATTTTTCAAAGATCTGTATCTAATACTTAAAATATACTATTTAAACTATATTACATATAAAATGTAAATTATATCCATATGTAAATATATTGAAATTATATAATAATATACTTAAAAACTGATATTACCCAGAACAAATATTAGAAATGGAAAGGGAAAGTTAGGACATAATTTATTGAGTTCTGAACCATCTGAGAATTTTTATATAAAATAATTTTGGTTATTTGACATATATTTGTCTGTAAGTATGGATGTATGTTTCCATTAGGTGATTTAAAAGAGGTATTTGAGGGCTGGGGATTTAGCTCAGTGGTTCTGGTGCCTGCCTTGCAAGTGCAAGGTCCTGAGTTCTATCCCCAGTACCAGAAAAAAAAAAAAAAACATATATTTTGCTGGGCATGGTGGCCATGCCTGTAATCCCAGCACTCAGGAGGCTGAAGCAAGAGGATCCTGGTGAGTTCAAGCTCAGCCTGGGCTACATAGCGAGACCCTGTCTCAAAAACAAATAAACAAAAAATAAAATTTCATTTGGAGAACTAAGGAGTGGATTGTTAAATCAATAAAGGTCAGAATGATCTCCAAAACTATTGCTGGGATGCCCCCCTCCCTGCCTCCCTGGAGCAGTGGTGGCAAACCTATGGCACGAATTCCTCAGCCAGCTGTTTGCATCACTGAAAGCTCTAAAAGGTTCGCCATTGATGCCCCAGGGTTAAATAATGACCGGCAGTCACTGCATTCAGAAGCTGGAGATTTTATTTTCATGAGTCACAGATGTTGGGACATAGGAGACTTTGCATCATTGATTCTACATAGAGCAGGATTCTAACCAGGAGCAGGGGAGCATGGTAGACACCCATACTTTTGCACAGGCTTGAAATACAGTGCAAATCTTCCCCCGTGCTCTGAAGGTGTCCGGCAGCTCCCACGTCCTTCTCAGTACTGGGTGAAGTTGGCCGTGATATGTTCGTGGTTGAAGGGTACGTACTCAGCGACCCCTAGAGAGAAGCAGAGCATGACCTGAGGTGGCCACGGTGCAGGGAACCGTCCCTCTCCAAAAAGGTCAGCCCCTTAAATGCTAGAGGAGTAAAATCGCCCTGGAGAAAGATGAGCAGTGTGATTAGTTTGGAAGAAACATGCAATTGGGACTCACAGCGTTCTCGCTCCAGTCTCTAGGTTGCCACTTGGTGGAGCACGTGTAGGTGAGCCCCTTCCGATGTGCCAGCCTCCTCCCCCCATGGTGTCTTAGTTACTTTTCTCCTTGCTGAGACAAAAATGCCTGACACCCAGAGTTAAAGGCGAAAAGGTTGATTTAGCTCACAGTTTGTAGAGGTTTAGGCCATAATTGGTGGGCTCCAAGGTAGGGTGGCATGGAATGAGGCACTGAAGAGGAGAAACAGTTCATGGCAGGCAGAAGACAGCAAAAGGAGGCAAACGAACAGCTTTCTGTCAAGACGTCTTGTGACAAGACGCTTTCTGTCCCTTGTACCTTAACCAGGCTACCTGCCCTTAGGGTGGGCAGCACTTGCACCCTGAATCCTCGTGCCCTTAATCCTAGCATTGCACCAGGAGTTGATCCCAGCGTCATGTCCTTGATCACAACAGAACTATGCCAAACCATGAGTGGACTAACTCAGTAATCACCCTCTAGATCCAGCCACCTCTGGAAAGCCCCACCTGTGGCTGCATGAGGCTTTGGGGGCCGTCTAGACGCAGCTGTAACACATAAGAGTTTTGTCAATAGTATTTCTTCTGAAGACTTATCTTCGAGATTAGAGGTAATGACCGCTGGGTGTAGTACAGTACCTGACACATGGGAGTCGTGCAGTAAATTATTATTAAATTGGCTTATTTAGGCCAAGGTAGAGCATTCAAAGTTGTATCTCACATTCATTTTTGATGATTTTGTGAGAAATAAGGAAGGGTGGTAGGCTGTCAATTCTTATCTCTAGGACAGGAAAGATTTGTGATAACATCATCTATTATTTTTCACGTAGTTCAGGCAACAGAAAGAATGATGGTTTCAGGCCCAAGTATTTTGTGGGTTTCAGAGATCTCTCCTTTACCTGCCTTTTTCCTAGAGAAGAAAAGTAATTGGCAGACATGAAAATAAGTCTAAGTTCCCAGGGAAATCTCTTGAGAAAGGTAGTAGAAAAACTAAAACTAACTAAAAAAATAAGAATTTTCCCCGTCTCTCTTGGGGAGAAGCTTTCTTTCTCCCAATATATTTTTCCTACTCTTAAAAAAGAAAAAAAAGGCATTTTAACATATTCCATGCAAAAGGCACTATAATTAATAATTTTAAATGCATTGTTTCTAATCCTCACAATAACGCAGGATATGGTTATTGCTCTTTCTGTTGTGTAGCTGTAGAAACTGTGGCCTGGGGACGATAGATTACTTGAATAATGTAGTTTGTAAATAAGGAAAGGAGTATCAAGTCTCGTGTGACCCCAAGATCTCTCTTGTATGTTTTGCTGCAATCCTACAAATTCGGGGTCACCAGGTTTTGTTAACTCTATGAGAGATGCTAAGAAAGACAGCTCTCGGTTGTAAGATTGGGTAGGAAGCCTTGTATGAAGCCGTGGCCTCAGCTCTGCATTTTCTCCACGTGGTGACATTAATGTCAGCTGGACTAGGTTACATCACCACCAGACAGAGCCATACGCCCGTGCTCTTTAAGTTGGAGGACATGTAGTATTTGCAAAAACTTTAAGATTTGCCTGGGGTCTGAGTTTTATTCTTCTGCTTTCTCCACGCAAACATGCAGGCACATTAGAGATGTAAAAATAACATGAGAAAAGAAGGTGAAGAGTGAATGTTGAGAATTGCTGAGGTAGAAAGTACGTGCATCCTGGATTTGACAACCTGAACTTATTTGTCTGGTCTATCATATGCTAGATTCACCCTTCATAGAAGTCCTAAGACAGTTTTCTCCTCTGTAAAAAGAATCACTAATACAGAGTTGATCTCTTCGCTTAAAAATGATGTGTATGTCTATGTGTACATATATATAACTCATATAGACAATTGTAACTATGTATACAGTTTGACAATTAATATTTTTTATTTTTATTTTATTTATTTTTGTATTCTTTTGGTTTTTTGAGGCAGAGTCTCCCTTTGCAGCCCAGGCTGGCCTGGAACTCACACTGATCCTCTTGCCTCAGCCTCCCGAGTGTTGGGATTACAGAGTGCACCACTACACCTGGCTTGAAAATTATTTATTGATTAAATGAATGAAACAAATAATTAATAAACAAAACCTTCAGACTCTGGAAGCAATAACCATCCTGTTTCTTTTCTTACCTTCACTCAAAGGTGTCCCGTCACTGAGAAACTGCCAGTAGGTCTTGTGATTAGCATTTTCATAGATGTTGTTGATAGAAGAAACCATAAGGCCCCAAGATGTCATTCTTGTTTCAAATCTAAGAATAAAATCATATATGAGTAACACCTCACTTTATTTATTTTTAATTTGTTTTTGGTTTTTTTTGGTACCCGGAACCAAACTCGGGTCCTTGTGCTTACTCAGCAGGCAGCAAAACCACCAAGCTAAATCCCTGGCTCCTAAAACCTCACTTTAGGTCAGTCCATAAAGGATAAAATGAAGGGACAGAGAGATTTTAAATGCTTTAAAGATCAGGAGAAAGCATGCTCAAAGGTAAAAAATGCAAACGACTAATAGGTATGAAATTACTTCACTTGATATGAAATGAAATTAAAATGAATGATTTTTTTTAAAAGCAAATTAAAAGTGGAAATGCCCAAGAATGGGTGAAAAATAGGTGAGTGATAGAACAAATATCTGAAATTGAAAAATTTGGAAGTTGCAAAAATAATAATTTTTTTCCATTAAGTTTATCGGTACATTTTAGGTATACAATACAGTTGCATTCATCATTGGGATCTTGTATCTTTACATGATGTATCTTGGTTCTTATTTTTCCCCCATTCCCCTGCCCTTCCCTGTTTGCAAAAAACTAATAATTTAAAAATATTTTTCAGTAAAATTGGAAAACCTTATGCAGTATGTTAAATGAAAATGTGAAATGCATGCATATTTTACAGAAATATCTGTCCCATGTAGGTGATGAATCACAACTATTTGTATTATGCATAGAAAAAACCATAAAATTTAAAAATTAACAGTTCTTTTATTGTGAATGAACTGTAGATGATTTGTTTTCTTCTTAATAATTTTTCTCTAAAGTTTTGCTATGTGTATTTTTTATATTTACAATCTAGAAAAGGAAATTCAGGTAACACTAAAGCAAGGCTTAGAAAAGTAAGTATATTTGGAAGACAGAAAATTAAATGGCTTCCTTTCCACAAGCTGGCCCTTTCCCTGACTGCTCCTAAACTGAGAATTCTCCATGTTTCTTTGTTGCTTTTTCTTTTTGCAAAGTATAAAGCTTCCCCCAGGTTTAATTTCCTCCTCTGTGGTTTATTTCTGTGTTCTCCCTCTCCCTGATGGAGCAGGAAGAATGTGAGCTTCAGAGTCGTCAGGTCTGGCTTCGCTCTAACTCTATCAGTTACGTTTTATGTGACTTTAGGAATATTCCTTAACTTCCTCTGGTCTAATTGTCCTGTCTGCAAAATGAGACTAATTAGAGCTGTCTCACGGTCTTGTTTTGTTCTGTTTTGCTTCATTTTGGAGTGCACGTGCCTGCCACCTGCTGCGTGGTTCCTCCACATCGTTTGTCACCGCTCTTCCGTGACTGTCCAATCTCTTCTGCTCATCCTGACCTCTTCTCTCTGGCCTCCTGCAAAAGCCTGCCAACGTTTCTGTTTTGAATACTCACAATGAACAAGCTTCTGGAAGGGACTCTGTCTCTCTGAAAGACAGTCTTCGTTTCTGCGACTCCAACAGTAGTTTTGAAGCTGTTTTTTCTTGACCTCTGCAGCCAGTCACTGCAGAGCCTTCCCTGGTACTGTCTGTGTGTCCTCAGTAAAAGCCTTCACGTCACGGCATCATCAGTGTCTTCATGCCTGAGTTTCGCTCCTGTCTCCCATGAATTTCATCACTCAAAACTTGCAATGCCTGAATTTGCATTTCTCTAATGGCCAGTGAGGTTGAACCTTTTTCACGTCTTTATGGGCCGCTTTTGTTTCTTCTCCTGAGAAGAGTCTATGCATTTCAGTTGCCCATGTTCTGATTGGTTCTTTCATTTTGGGGCTCTAAGTTTTTGGAGTTCTTTATATATTGAAGATATTACGGTGGTCCTCTTTCTGAGGACTAGCTGGCACTTTCCCCCCCATATTGTAGGTTGTCTTTTCACTCTGTCCATTGTTTCCTTTGCTGTGCAGAAGCTTCATGAACACATAAATGGATAAAGAAAATGCGGTATTTATACACAGTGGATACTACTCTGCTATAAAGAAGGACAAACGAGTCATTTGTAGGAAAATGGATGCACCCTGAAAACATAATGTTAAGTGAAATAAATCAGACACGCAAGCTTAAAAAGCATGTAATTCCTCTCACATGAGAAATTCAAAGAATAAATAAGGTAAAGAGCTAAATAAAAGACAGATAAAAGGAAACAAGGAGATAGACCTACTGCAGATGCAGAGGACCACAAGATGGAGCAAGGAGGGAAGGACATGAGGGCCAGGGGGTGTTAAAAAAAATTAGGATGTGTCATGTACATGCACCAAATACCCCCAGTGAAAGAGTCAGTATGCATCTCACTCATGAACTAATAGCTAAATTAAAAGAAAACTTGCAATGCAACAAGAAGGCTAATCTCCTACCCTGGGATTTCAGGCTTTTTACAGTATCACCAACATTCTCTTCATTCTGTGTTCTCTTCTAGAGAAGCTGGCTTCTCCCAGACCCCAGATTCCCTGCTCACTGGTACCTCAAATGCTTCTTTATAGCCATTCCTCCTTCCTGGAATGAACCTGTCCCACATCTTCCTAAAGAGGACCCAGGCCCTGTTGGCCAAAGCCCCGGAACCTACTTTGGCTGTTCCAACCCAGCCCCTCTCCTTTGAATTTCCGTTACTGCAACTCTGTATTGATTTGTATGATTTAATTTTTTTTTTTTTGGTACCAGGGATTGAACTTGGGTCCTTGCGCTTGCTCAGCAGGCGGTGAAACCACTGAGCTAAATCTCCGGCCCTGTATGATTTAATTTTTCATGAAGGTGTTTTTCTATTTACTAGACTGCAAGCTCTTCCAGAGGCTGTTGGATAAATATGGTAACTTACCAGAAGGAAAATGGCAAGAAAATGAAGGAAGGAGAGGGAAGCAGAGTTTGGTTAGGCCTGGGGACCGTGGTGAACAGCACGTGCAACACTCACTTGAACACGGGGCTTTTGCGCTGGGCTTCCTCTAGGACCACAAGGAGCACGGACCCCCCGTTCACGCTGACCTCAGTGGTCACGTTGAAGAGCAGGTCCACACCCCTCAGCTGGTTGTTTATGGTGTAGACCACGGTGATGTTGGATGCTGAGGTGGGGACCGGGATGGGATAGGTGGGGACAGTTGGTGCCACTCCTTGGTCTGTGAAGAGCAAAGTGATGGAGTCTGTCAGAGATGATGGGGTTTCTACGACAGATATGAAACCTCTGTTGGTGACAACTGACCCCAGAAAGGAGGTCAAGTAAGCAGTAGTTTCAGAGCAGTCACCACGGAACTTGCCCAGCTGAGTAGAATCCTGGCAAAGCTGCCCCCCATCTCGGTAATGTGGGGAAATCACTGGGAGCAGGCTAAGGAGTCGGGTGGATGTGGCAGTGTCTCATAGAGCTGGGATCACTTTGCTGGATTTTGGTCTCTGTAGATTTTGCATTGTGATAGATAAGAAATTTATAATTCTTTTCCTTGTCTTAAGCAGCCCATGCAATGTAAATGAGCAGTATATTAATAAGTGATTAGAAAGTAGAATTAGAGAAACAAGTAGTTCTGGAGTGGTACAATTTTTGTGAAGAATGCCTCATTTCTAAATGCCTGTTTCTGCAGTGTTTGAATTTTAAGTGTTTCATTATTACATTTATAATTGTAGAACATAAAGATATTTCAAATTAAAAAGTAGAATGCCACATTTCTAACCCATCCCCTTGGGCTTCTAGGAGGATCAAACTTTCATAATTAGATCTTTAAGGTTGGCTGAAATGTCATCTCTGTTCCCCTAAGGCTCTCAAATAAAATCAACAACTGGTCCTTCCTTGTTTTGATGTTTTTGCTCTGTATATGGATTTAATTTATATTTAATAACCTTTTCATTATTCCAAATACTATAGCTGTTTGTGTACATATCTATTTCCTATGTTGTAAAGAGCAGATGTGAAGCATTATGCATGATATTTGGTGGTGTATTTGTCAAGAGAATGAGTGAAGCTATTTCGTTGTTGGGAACATGGGCTTCCCTCCTGTGGTATCCCACAACAGGCTTTTCCCATAGCAGATGCTCAGGAAATAAATGCTGAGTGCAGTAGACACGAGGGTGAGCTGTAAGGGCTGGATGATTTGGCCATGTGTTAGTGCGCTTTTGGGGACTGGAAGTCCGATAACATTAAGAAGCTTGCAAGTCACTTAATATTGATCCACACTCCATCCTTGGCGTATTTGCTACTTTTGGACAGAAGAAGAGACACATGTTAAAAGAGTTCTTACCACCACGACAAGTCATGTGGGGCACATCTAGGTAGGTCTTGCCTTTCAGAGATGGGAGGATTTGGGCAATGGACATGGGGTTCTGGAATTTTCTCTGCTTAATTTCATCAAGTACGATAGTCATCGTCTGCTCACAGTCCCACTTCTTGGCGGGCTGCACAGGTGTCACAGAGAGAGCCTGGGACAGGGGAGTGGGAGAGAGAGGTAGAGAGAGAGACAGGGAAATCAGGCACTGCTAGAAGTTGGCCCATATCTGTCTGTAAGGGACAGACTTGGTCAGTAATCTCTGTGATCACTCATGATCCAAGCTAACATGACCTGGTTTTTTAGATCAAGAAGAAGGGTTGAGAAAAGAATGTTTGGCCTCTCAAGCCTGAATGAAAAAATTCAGTATTTTTAAGGACTTGCATTAATATCATTACTTATACATAAAGCATTCAATAGTCTACATTGATCACTAGTGTATGGTTCATTATTAATAACAAACCAAAACTTTCTTGGATTTTTTTTCATTTTTTTCCAAGGAAGGAAAATTCATTCACATAAGACTGTTTTCATGCTTTATCCATAAGCTAGGGAAGGGTGAACACTTATTTGCATTTCACCAGTAGAAGCACAGAGGCCCGAGGCACCCCAAGTGTCTACCCTAGTCATACTAGTTGGAGTCTCCCAGAGACTGGGTCTGCTGATGCCAGAGTCCAGGCTGGAGCATCCAGGATGGGTTTACCTGCATGGCAAGGCCAGTACTGTAAATGTTTCCAATGATGCCATTGTCTTTGATCCTCATGCTGATATTCTCCACAATCCTCTTCAATACCTGACTGAACAGGTTTCGGTAACTGTCCCCGGAGCCTACAGGGGTCTTGTTGTACATGCACGTCAGAGCCAAAGTGGCCACGGCTCCAGTGCCTGTAAATCATGGGGGACAGGGTAGGACCGTCACCACCAGCACCACCAGCACAGCTGGAAGGCCGACATTTGCCACGTTCCTATTGGATTCTAGTCAGGAGATCCATTTAGTGCTCAGGACAAACTGTGAAATAGTTCCTGTGATAGTTTAAGAGATGAGGAGGAAATGGAGGCTCAGAGGAGTTAAGTAGCTGTCCAAGGCCACGTGGCAGGACCAGAATTTGAACCTAGATCCACGCAGCTCAATAGCTCACGCTTTTAATTAATGAAGATTGCAGTGTGTTCAATCCCACTTCTCTTGCCCCAGTGTTGACCGCTCCTAATCTCATTGTTCTTGAAGGCCTGAGTGTCACCCTTCTTTATGAAGCCCTGCTGGTCCTCCCAGAACAGCACACACAGTCTCTGTCCTGAGCTCCCGTGGTGTTTGTTTTCATATCTCCTTTGCCACCTCAGCACTCTCTGTGTGATTTCTTGTTGCTGTGCTCTGTGAATGCTTGGATGGTGGGGTGTTGCACCCAGCAAAGAAACTTTTTCATCATTTGTACATGGCAAACATTTTGGATAGAATGAGCAAGCCCCGGGACAAGACCAGAACAAATGAGAATTTTGCCAGATAGCATCTCTTATTTCATTGATCTTTCCCTCCCACCCTAAGCTGCAAGCTGCGCAGTTTCATCAAGGACAGTAATGTTACTGAAGCCCAAAGGCAGAGTCCGTACTTCTTGAACTGGCCAAGGTGTCCCAGCAACGTGTGCCATTCCAGATGGGAAAAGGAGACCAGCCTCTTCTTGACCCACAGGAAGGAGCTAGAGTACATTTCCCGGCTTGCTGGAGGAGTTTCTGAGGAGGGGTGGAAGGGGTGAAAGGGTGAGATGATGCTGCAGCTCAGAGAGCAGTGGAGGAGGAAGAAGGGCCAGGAGAGAGGGCCATGACGGTAGCCCTTGGGGAGATTGCTGCACAGTGAAAGGCAGACGGAAAAAGGGTGTGGCGTTGCAGAGGAAAAAGCTTCCATTCCAAGCTGTCATACACTTGCAGAACCAAGGAACCAGAGGGTCCCACGTTTCTTGAAGGGATTAGGGTTCCAATAGTAGCTGTTTAATAGAAAGAGGACATTTGGATAAATAAGGAGACGCATCAAGGGGAATAGGGCATGAAGCACTGGCAGCAATCAGAGAGAGGGTGCAGGACAGGGTGGAAGCAAGATTTAACTGCCTTGATTACTTCACTATTTAATTTGGAAAAAACTTCTGACTTCAGTGACATGTTCATTGTTCCCAGTGGAGAGGTTTTGTAGCTTCCAGACCTTTCAAGTGCTGCCCTTGCTTGTACACATTATTGTCTCCTTGTCTTTCATTTATTCCTTAATTCACACAAACATTTGTGGTTTGCCCCATCTAGACTCCTTCCAGGCTCTCAGGCCCTCTGTGGAAAGTGTCCCACGCCCCCCACCAGCTCCAGCGTGTGGCCCAGGGCAGTGTCTGACGGTGGCAACCTACTCACCCACGTGGAAGGGAGAGGTGTTGGCCAGCAAGGCCTTGGCGAAGATGGTGGCTATTGGCAAGGTGGCCTCGGAGTTCTTCTGGCACAGCGCCAAGATCGCCAGACCGGGTGAGTAGAAGGCTGTGGCTTCCTCCCTGGGGGCTGCAGGGAGGGTAGAGAATCTGCATTAGAATAACGTCCATCATGCCGCGACGTTTGTGAAGCGGGCAAAGCCAAAGCTTCTCAACAGAAACTAAACCTGTCTTGGAAGAAAGGCACAGTAATGGAAAAGGACCACGTCACTGTCATGTAGAGTAAGGGTATCATCTGGCGTCTGCATGGCACGAACGGGACGGTGCTGGCTGCAAGCAGCAGGTGGCGGGGCCCGTCTGTGTGGTGGGAGGACTTGGCTTTCTGGCTCAGGATGGGTCAGAAGGGAATCCCTGGCTGTCGAGGCGGACAGAGTGGAGGGAACACTGTGTCTCTTCTCTAACGTTCCGCTCTCACCGCCCCCAGCCTCCTCCATCCTGGGTTTCAAGTTCTCAGCAAGGTCCCTGGCCCCTCTGTCCCCTCCATTCCCACAAGGTCTCACCTGGGGGTGACCAGCTCTCCATTTCTCTCTGTAGATCCGACACTTTGCTCCCAGGGTTTCTGCAGGAAGAGTTGAGGGCCATGATGGTGAGGGCAACTTGTCCCGTGGTTAGGTCTGCAGAGGCACAAACAGGACAGTGACTGACAGTGACAGGCGCTCTGAGGGAGCGACCACCAGGGCCCAGCTGAGCTTCCTGCTCTCATCACAAAATCGTTTTAATTTTTTAGATAGTGCATTCACATAAGCTTTTGATCTGCCTTTCCAAAGAAAGATGGAAATATACTTCAAGGAATATGGAATCTAGTGTCTTCTCTGTGACGTGATGATTCCATTGGGAATCTCTAGTTTATCTGGTTAGAAAAGCAGCAAGGACACCCGTCCAAATGGAAATCCAGTTACAAAATAATTTCAATGGTGTTATTTAACCCTAAGTACTCAGAATAGAGATTTTGCTATCATTGCCATTGCCATGAGTAACAGTAGTGTCCATAGCATTCCTGGAGGGCAGGATGTGGGAGAGCAGTAGGAGTGACCGCGTGTGTACGTGGAGCATGCAGGGCTGGAAGCTCGCTAGTCCTCATTTATCTGGGCCCTTTCTACTTCCCTGCTCTCCTCCCTGGATGCTCTGGCTTCACACATTTCTTTCTAGGTCTGTCACAAGTGTGTAGGGAATGGTGACTTAGGTACAATCTCAGGCAGAATTGGGATGGAGAGAGTGGCACAAAGCCGGGGCAGGGAAGCACCGGGTAGACGGGCATAAGGATCAGACAGCAGGCGTGGACCTGGGTATCTCACCAGCGGTGTCACTGCTCTCGAGCTCGTTAGTCAGGTCCTCCTGGGCCTCCAGGTTGTAGGGTCCGGCCAAGTTCATGGCGATCAGGACGCTAGGGTTGGGGAGGGTGGACGGCATTACCGAGTCCTCCATGAGCACTTGGATGTTGTCAACCCAGGGCTGTTCTCCTGAGGGCACAGCTGAGAAGACGAAAGCCATTTACCAAACCCCTCACCCACCATCCTAGAAACATGATTCCCAGGTCTTTTACGTCTCTTTCGTAGCCTTGGTATCCTAGGTGATTACAGAGAAATGCAAAAACATTGCAATTTTTCTTTGCAAGCCAATTAGCCCTTACATCTTCTCAAATACCCCATTCCACCAACTTTAAGCAATATGGTTCACAGACATTCCATGTGGTTTCTAGCACTTCCTTAGAGATGGCTTTCATTGCCTCTGTTTTCCCCACTCCATCTTCAGTGAATAATATTAAAGTTCTGGGACTGATCTGTCCCCAGCAAGCACCAAAACCACCTGCTCCTAGTGGTCCGGGTCATGAGAGCCACTGAACATCTGTACCAGCTGCTGTTATTCCTGGGTACGAGTCATCCAACCTTAACAAAGCGTCCAACAACTCGACTCCTACGGAACTTGTCCTATTAAGTCAGGAGAGATGACATCACACCGGCACCCACCTCAACTCAGGTCGGGACGCCTGCTGCGATAGCTCTCGCAACCCTTTCTCATCAGCGGACCTCAGTGCCTGAGATCTCTGCCTCTGGCCAGGGCCAGTTGTCCCGTCCTGCTCGGAATGAGCGCCATACTCACAGCAGGAGCTTCTGACCCGGGCAGAGGTCCCAGCCAGAGCCCAGAGCTGGCTCAGGAGGAGGAGGGCAAGCCAGGCCATTTCTGCTCACAGACAGCAGTATTTTCGCGCGAGCGTTTCTCTGGCGTGTCTTATATGTGCTTGTCTTCCAAAAACAGTCTGCTTCTGACCCAGCCGCCTCTGAGCACCTGTGCTGAGCTCTCCTTCCCTGACAAGGTGAATTTCCACGTGGTTATCTGTGTTTACCTAAGGACCTCTGATAGGTCTCGAAGGGGACTTCCAGGCAGTCCAGTCACACGAGAAACTGAAGGCCAGGCATGCAGCAAAGACAGTAATGACAAATATCCTCTAGCAGGTCCCTGGGTCATTGCCCTGGAGGTCTGGCTAACGTTCAAGTCTAAACAAGCCTTTTCCTAGGACTTATTCTCCATGGCCAGGTGACCTTGCGGTTGTTTATCTGCAACCGCTTCACTGAGGTTTGGGAGGTGGTGGACCTCTGCTCACTCCATGCTCTGGGGCCCCTTTTCGCTCTCAGGTGAGGACTTGCCTTCAGGTGAAGTCTGACTTGGTGCAATTCCATTAACCGGGACCTGGATGTTAGCCCAGGCTCTGTGTGACTTTAGGCAAGAAATAGACCTTAATTTTCACCAATATTGTTGTGTTTGTTTCTTTCCTTTCCTTATCCAGGGACAGAAACAGTCTCCAACACCCAAAGCTCTCAGGTCTTTAAAGTCAGTAATTAGAAATGTGGGATCTGTTAACTATATTACTATTCACTCTTAAAAAACCCAAAACTGTACACCCTCCCCCTGCCCCCCGAAATGTAGCCATGTAATAAAGTAAGGAATACCCCCCTATAAAGAGAACTGGAACTAGTGTCTTGAAATTGTGAGGGAAGAGCCTGAGTCCTTTCTGCATTTTAAATAGCTTCTTCGAGGGGAAAATTGTCCAGTGGCTCACGTTGTAGAATAAAAGTAGAGGTCCTTTTAGGGTCCTACAAGGCTTTGTAAGATTCCGTTTCCAGTTTCCTTTATAAACTCACTGCCAACCGCATTCTCTCCTGCTCACTCTGTTCCAGCCCAATGGAGGCTCCATGTTCCTCGAAAGCTTTACAGGCCTTTGCACGTGAGAGTCCCCAGAACACTGCCAGACAGTCTTTTGGTGGCTGCTTGCTTTCTTGTTTTCCCTGCCCAGGGGGAAATGATGGGAAAGGGCTTCCAGCCCCTGCCCATGAGGCAGCTTCAGCACCACCCCGTCAGCCTGCAGGCCACGCTCCTGCCTCACCAAGTTACACGGTGTGGTTGTTTATCACCTGTTTCCTTCCTCTCTAGAGCGTGTGCTCCGAGGAGGAGGGCATTTGGTCGCTTCTCCGTCCCCAGCACTTGTGACCTGCACGCACGAGGGACTGAACAAACACAAAAGACCCTTTTCCTTTTCCGGGATCACTGGTACCTTTGTGAGGTAGGAGCATATTGAGATGTATCAATCTCGTCACCCCACGTCATCCCCAGGAGTCCCCTTGTGTCGCGTGTGGGCAGGTCTAACTCTGAGGTCCACCGCGAAGCATGAGTGAGGGCCCGAGTCATGAAGGCTGCCTGCCTCCCCATTGCCCGCAGGGAGCTCTCTGGCTCCGCATGGCCACTTCTCTGAGGAAGCTGCCAGGGTCAAGCTGTGTCACGGAGAAGCCCACGAGGTGGACGCCCGACAGTGGCCTCCAGCCCACAACCGGCAGGGGGAATCCTGCTCACATCCATGCGAAGGAACTGAAAAACACACCTTCTTCCCCTTGGAGCTCTGAGAGGAGGCCGCCCCAGCTGACGCGCTGGTTGCTGCCTCCCAGAGACTAAGCCAGGGGACCAGGAAAGTCCTCCCTGGATTCCTAACCCAGTGGAGCTGCAGGATAACAAGCGTTGTTTTAGGCTAAGTTTTAGGGTAACTTGTGATACAGTGATATTTGATGTGTGATTGAGAAATACGGCAAATATTTGCATTAGAATAATTTATTGCAGTAAAAGACATCTTGCTATTAATCGCCTCGATTTGAACTCACTGTCATTGTTCTGGACTCTTTGCAGCAGCTCTGCAGTCCTCTTTCCTGAGTGTCTTAGTTGAGTCATGGCTGTGCTGATGTCTTGAATTGATTCAAAACGTTGATCTTTCACAGTCGTTTTGACTTTAGGGAAGAGCCGGAAGTCACATGGTGCCAGATCCGATGAGTAAGATGGATGAGGACACAGAGTAGTGTTTTTTTTTTTTTTTTTTGATACCGGGGATCGAACTTGGGACCTTGCGCTTGCAAGGCAGGGGGCAGAACCACTGAGCTAAATCCCTGGCTCCAGGGTAGTGTCTTATGAGCTGCCTTTCTGTTGGTTAGGACTGGGCAACAGCAACCGCTATATTTTTATGTTATCACACCTAGTAAAGACACTCATGAAAGAGGACTTCAGAACTGCTTCCAAAAATGTCAAGAATGATGGGATAAGTGTGTTCAAAGTGAGAGAGGGGGAATCTAGAGGGAGGCCGATGGCAATGTGTCTTTTCCTGCAACACATTTAACTGTGACTGTATATTTTGGTCGTCCCTGTATGTACTCAGTGCTTCAGCTATGGTAAGAACAGAAAGACAGTCTGGGTCTCTGTGGTGGAGAACCATGCATGCTGTGCAAAGGAATAGTGGACAGAACAATGCGTTCTTCCCATCCCTGCCCTGGCCAGCTGTCCACGTCCTAACCTGTGGAACGTGAAAATATAGGTTATATAGGTTATCTGGCAAAAGGGAATTCGAGTGATGCTAGCATTGAAGTTGCTAACGAGCTGACTTTGAAACAAGAAAATTAGTTAGAATTACCTGGTGGGCCCAGGGCATCCATAGGGAGGACGGCGCAGGCAAAGCAGGCACGGACTCTGGAAGGGAAGCAGCCGGTTCACATCTAGATTTTACCCCGTGAGGCCCACCTGGGACTTCTGACCTCCAGAACTTTCGCATAATAAATTGGTCTTATTTATATTAAGAAAAGTTTTGTACTCCATTACTGCAAGAGTAAGGCTCGGAAGCTTCCCTAGGAACCCGCATGGTGCTGCCCGGGGTGGGGGGGGGTGTCCCGAGCCTGCTCAGGACCACCTGCGATGACGTGCACACCCGCACACCTGCCGCGGCCTAGCTCTTCGCCGTGCGCTTCTCCGAGGTTGTCGCTGGCAGGCACGGTTCCCACGCCACACGGTGTGGCGGCTGCACTTAACAAATGCGGCAGCTCCCACAACAGGCACCTGCGGGCCGTGCCTTTCTTCACTGGCACTGTTTCGTCACTTTGCTCAGCTCCACTGGCCCACTCACTCACTCATTTTCCTATGCCTAGCATCTGGGTTTCAAAGTTCTCTCTCTGTCTCTCTCTGTCTCTCTATCTGGTGTCCGTCTCCTCTCTCTGTGTCTCGCTCTCGGCTCCTACGAGGTTTATTTGTGGAGATGGAGATGATTCTTTCCCGTGGCAACAGATGGAACTTTCCCTCCTTAGCATCAGCCTAGGTTGTCCCAACAGCCCCAGGCCTCAGGAGCTTCTCTTCAGGCCAGTAAGGCCAGAGTGGGGTTTCCGGAGTGCGAAGCGGGTGCTCCTTCACTGGCCTTCGTGTTGTCCGAGAGTAAAGGTGTTTCTCGGACAGCAGCTACTCTGCTCTCCTTAGGCCACTTGTGGGGAGAGACTCTATTGTCTTAAAAACGGAGGCTAGAATCACGAGAGGAGGAGCTAGGAAACGGGTGTACGGTGTTTGATTCAATCAGAAAATTAAATGAGAACTAAAAATAAGTCACTTTTTATTAAAATTTTCATTTTTTCCAGTACGTGTTTGTAGTACGTGCATTTTACAGTCATCTTGGGGAGTGGGTACATGCGTATCATGCAGCTTGTTTCTCTAATTCCCTCCTCCTCCCTCTCTCCTCCTCCAGGACCCCTCCCACTTTTCATTCTTGCTGATGTAACCAATCTCAGTTCAGGGCATCTGATGTGCACAGTCACTGAGGTTATTAGGACCTTGTGCAGAACATAGCTTCACTCTACCTGTTTCTCCATCCCCTCCATCTGAGAAAGGCAAAGTACAAACTAAGAAGAATAAAGATTGATTTTTTTTTCTTAAGTTCTTTTATTGGTACATTTTAGGTATACAATACCTTTACATTTATCTTTGGGTGCTTGTACCTGTGCATGATGTATCTGGGTTCTTATTTTTTCCCCATTCCCTGTGCGCCTTTCACCTCTAAACCCTTCCCTATTTACATAGTTAGTTTCCATTTTTTTCTTTTATCATAATGTTTCCTTTCCATTCTTTCCTTTCCCCTTCCCCTCCCACCACCCATACCCCTTTGGACCTTTTCCTATTTCAAAGTATCAATTATTAGTTATTAATCCTTTTAGTTCTTATTTACACTCTCAGTTTCTCACACTAGAGAAACCATTCGGTATTTACAC